TGTTTCAGCTGTTTTCAGCAAATCTATTGAAATTTCTTTCAGCTTCTCCCATTTCTGTATTTTCAGCAATTTCAAATTAATTTCAGCTTTTCTAATATCTGTAATTTAAGCAAACGTATTAAAATTCCCTTCAACTTTCTGTATTTTCAGCAATTTTCTGAAGTTCATTTTGCATTCCAACGCATCTTCAGCAGGAAATGCATTTTCTAGTTTTGTCTTGTTGCCTCCTTTATTTACACCACCTTGAGTGGGATCAGAAATGAGATAGGATCTGAAATGATTTTGACTTGGTACTCAATGAACATGATAAAGTCTCTAAAACCAGATCTGAAACCTTCTTTTTCTGAGATTTCACATGCAGCTGCTCTCCACTTTTCCCTGAGCTTGAAAGGAAGTTTCTGCATGATTGTTTTCATGTTTGCTGGCATATTGAGTTCATCTAAATATTGCAATTCCTCCATAGCATTGCAACATTCTCGTAAACAGAATGCATATGCCTGTAGCCCTTTAACATCTTCTGCCTTAACAGCAGGCCATCCAATGATTTTGGAAAACATTACAAGTCATTTAGCTGACGCTTTTATCCAAAGCGACTTACATTACATTTTTAACCCATGGCTCTTACATTTTGCCCGGGGAGCACTTAGGGACACTTCAACATGGGGCAGCCGGGATTCGAACCACCAACCTTGCAGTTCCCAGTACACCCTCTCTACCCCCTGCGCCACGACAACCCACCTAGGGAGCTGTGACCTTTAGTTTATTTCCACAGTAATTTCCAAGAAGTTCTTTGGCCATGTCTGGGGCCATATGCTGGCAACTGCGCACTAGATCTCTAGGCGGCCCCCTAGTAAACTGCTGGAGATGATACATTCTCCTTGGTTTGTTTTAGCTTCAACACAATGTTGAAAAGCTCTAATGAATGATCTAAATTGTAAAGGATCGCCATCAAAAATGGGAATTTCTCTGCGTGGTAAAAATTGAGAGTTCTGCGTCTGTACAAGAAGTGCTGTCATGTGGAAGTTGCATTTGGAATAAAAGGCAATTCCGCGAGTTGAGAACACCAGCGTGTGTCTCGTTTATTTTTACAACAACAAACTCACAAGATGGCGCAGCCCTGTAACCTCACAAGCAAGGGCCTCTACGTCATAAATAACAAAACGTTTAAAGGGACCGCGATCCCGGAACAGTCGCAATTACGTGTACAACAAAACAAGAACAAAGGTGAATTATGCAGTCACATTCACTACACACGTCCCCCCAGAATTCACCATATAAGAAAAATAATCATCTGGGAGGTGGTCGTATTAACCGACCAGAACGGTTGTGTTTCAGAGGGGGTCGAGGAGCCACAACCGTGGCAGATGTACCACCGTGACACGGGCGTGGGGCGTTGAGTGTGGGAGTCCTGGGAGGGAGGGACACAGGGGGTGGGCGCAGAGCTGGAGGACGCCCGCGTCGTGGGGGCTGGGCCGATTCAATGGGCCCAGCAACGTCCAAATGAGCTGGTTTGAGGCAGTCGATGGAGAGTCGCTCCGGTTTACCACCCATGTCCACCACAAAATGTTTGTCTCCTGTCTCCAAAACCCGGAATGGGCCCTCGTAGGGCGGGCGTAGCGGTCCCCTGTGAGCGCCGTGGCGAATAAAGACGTATTCAGCCGTCTGAAGCCCAGCGGGGACGTGCGACTGAGGGAGGCTGTGACGGGAAGTAGGGACAGGTGCGAAGAGCTTCGCATTGTCCAGTAGTGCGGCCCGTTGTAAGGTCGCAGACCAGGGAACGGTGGAAGTAGGAACAAAATCCCCTGGAACCCGCAGTGGCTGGCCATAGACAAGCTGCGCGGACGAGGACTGCAGGTCTTCCTTCGGTGCAGTCCAGATGCCAAGCATCACCCACGGGAGCTTGTTGACCCAGTTGCCGTCTTTGAGGCCGGCGCGAAGAGAAGCCTTCATTGACCTTGAATACGCTCACTTTGTAACAGAATGTAGAGATCTGCATTTACTTGAGGATTGCCTTGGAATGATGCTGGATGCCTTGAAATGACCAGATTCATAATCTGATTGCATCAATTTTATTCTATCAAATTATTACCATTTGTCAATATAATAATTTTTCTCAATAGCGGCTATTTTAGTATTATACTCCTCCGCTTCCATTGCCTTTTCCACCTTTAACTGAGCGTTAGCAGGCATTGAATAATTCTGCTGAAATAATTCCCTTTGCATTGGTTGGTATTGTTCAGCATAAGGATTAAGTGCTGCTCCCTTTATGAAATATGATTCCATTCCATCTGAATTTGTAGTTGAAACACCGCCATGCCTCGAGGCATTCAACACTAATTTTGCTGTAGATACGCTAATTCAGTGTCAACTTCAAGTTGTTCTTGTTTCCTTCTTAATTGCTCCACGTACTCCTCCAGAACATGTTTCTTCTGTAGCGCCGCAGAAGAGTGCAGCCCGTTCTGCCTCTGTTTGACGCCTTGTGGAGGACGTCGAACCCTTGCTGACCTAGAGACATTACTTCGATGGGGGGTCCTAAGCATTTGATCCAACATTTGAAATGCTGTCCTGAGGCTCCATATTAACGACATCATTATGGACATCAACAACTTCAGTAATGGGACAACTTTCGTTGCAGACTAACCATTTGTGTGTATCATCAAAAAAGTACTAAGCATTTTTAGTTTATACCACATTTCATGATTTTCCATCTCCTCTTTAAGTACCAACCTCATCAATGCTTCATGTTTTTCCTTCGCTTCACCACAGAGAACCTTAAACTTTTCAAATGTACCTTTTACTTCTGTGACATACATGTAGCTTTTATCACACATAAAATCAACAATTATCTCTTTGAGACTGTGTGCCCTTTGAAAATTCACCTTTCTCTCCTTTTGCAGGCGTATAATTTTTCCATAAGTGCCTTTTCTTTTAATTTAACAGTCCGTCTTGTTGCAGAGTAGTCCATATTACCTGACTCAACTAGAGTCTCAGGTAAGAGTTCAGAATCAGTAGCGTGTGCTTCTTCCATTGTCCAAGACGCACATTCAGTTTGTGAATACTTGCTCAGTTCATTTTCAGTCACCACCAAATTTTACACATAGTCATGTGTGCACGCAGGTGCTCTGCCGCTCTGCTTCTACCTCCGTAAGTGAAGTTCAGTTCCGACATCCACTTCAACTTCTGCCGCTCGTACTGCCGCGCCAATGGCCGCTCCAAACTGCCACTCGGTCTGCCGCGCCAATCGCTGCTCCAAACTGCCACCAGATCTGCCGCGCCAATCGCCGCTCCAAACTGCCGCAGCTCTGACTGCTGCTCCTATTGCCGCTTTAAACTTCCGCCGGGTCTGCGCCAATTGCCGCTCCGATTGCTGCACCAAACTGCCGCAGCTCTGACTGCTGCTCCTATTGCCGCTTTAAACTTCCGCCGGGTCTGCGCCAATTGCCGCTCCGATTGCTGCACCAAACTGCCGCAGCTCGTTTTCAATGAAGCAAGTTTTTTGACTTACTGTAGAGACCCTTTTTGCCTATCAAAAGTTAGGTCTTCTTGGTTGGTGTTTTGAGTTTGTTTTGATAAATTTTCCTTGAGACATTTCCACTTCTTCTTTATTTTGTTCTTTAATAACACCATCCAATTATCTTTGTACATGCCTCTTCCACCCTGTCACGCTCACGTTCCTTGCTCTCGTTCCACACTTCACTTTCCACCTTCCACGGTCACGTTCATGACCTCTGAAACATTAATATTGATGGAACATCATACTATTGTTCAACAACCGTTCTATCGTGTCTTGGTCCGGTTATCGGGATTTACGCAGCTCAATTGTTGATGGATCCACTTACCTAAGGCTTTCTATTCCGAGCTGTCACGCCGTTTTTCAAACGTCAACTCACGTTCGTCATCGTCTCGCTGGTTAACGTATTCATCCACCACTTGGTTTGCTGAGCCAACTTACTGCGTTGTAGGGTCCAGGTCACATTTGTAATTTGGCTGAACGAATTAATCTTCCGCGTGGTTTAGGTTAGTCCGCCATCTGGTATTTCCATTGGTTAGTTATGCGGTGAGCAGACAGACATCTCGACCTGGGGTCCGTTTCAAGTAGGAGGTTTAACAAACCCTAAACTCTGAGTTGATTTACCCTGAAATGGGAAACTGTTGAGTTTCCACTAAACCCACTTCTTGAAACCTCCTGGTACCGTCCATAACTTTAAGACTTTAAGACTTATCAATATAATTTAAATGGATTAGTAGTATAAAAGGTCACCCCATACACAGTTCACAAAGGGAAAAATAAAACTTTTTTTAGTAGCATAATGTATGCATTTGTATTTCTGTGTAAATTGGACCCCCATGTTAAATTGTCACAATCTACACAGAAGTACAAATGCATACATTCTGCTACTAAAAACAGTGGAAATTGAATCGCTTTTAAAAGTGGCTTTTTGAGGAACTGCAGTTATTGGAACCTAATTCTGACTGTTGGATATAACCGTAATTAAAACCCACAGTATTCAGTACATTAAACTAAATGTTTTGAACTGGCTTAAAAACCATAGCTGGAGTACTGAAAACTTATACAATTACATTGTAACTGTATAAATCAAGACGTTACAATGACTTATTGTTCAAATACTTTTTTGCAGTGTACAAACAATAACAAACCTGCACACTGTGGCTACAGACAAGACGTTGAAGTGTATAGAGGTCTGACGGTCCCGTTAACTACACCTCACATTCCCCATATCCTGGAGCTCATTGTTAAGAAGGCTCAATGTTGACAAACCAACGACAGAAATGTTGATTTAAACAACTAACTACTCGCCTGAAAAAATTACATTCTGTGACTTAAATGTAGTGCTCGGTAAAATGGACAGGGCGAGTCACATTCGTGTATTATGACCATTCTCGGCAAGAGCCGCAACTGATGACATTTCAGGAGTCCACGGGAACACAAGTCCACACAAGAACGCGTATTAGGAAAGGGTCAATGAAAAAGGGATCAGTCTTGACATACTGAGAGGTTTATTGAAAGAAGTATTTTGGAAATACTATAAAGTTCAACCATTTATAATGCAATCACACAATCAGAACTGAGAGCTCAACCATTTCCCCTCCAACTGTCTTACACATTTGATATGAGTAAAGTGCTGCATTTGCCAGGAAACTATTAATAATATTCCACATACTTCCATGGACTGTTAATCCGTTTTCCAAACATTTGAGAGTATCTTCTTGTTTGTAGGTTTCATCACACCCCTTTTCAGCACAACTTAAGCAAAATTTATTGTTGACAGATTTAACTCCGTGGGCACCGAAAATAAAGCAAGATGTATTCAGAAACTGCTCTCAGACGAGTTGATCGCTGAATCTTCAGAGTGCAGTCCGTCCCAGCTAGACCAAAGTGGAATTTATAATATTTTGGATGCACTTGATTTAACTCCTTGATAATTTTGGGAAACAGTCAACAGCTTTCCCACACATGTATCACTCGATTACAGTGTTTCGTAGCCAAAGATACAGCAATACAATATCATATTGTATCATCAAGGATCATCGATGTTTGCAGCTATTCATCACTGATCGCTCCCAGGACGTTAGAGTAGTATATATATGTCCATATATAAATATATATTCTATGAATCACCGATAAGAATCCAGTGTTTCACCCCACACAGTTTGCAAGCATCAGCAAAACAAAATAAAATTTGCTGCTTTGCATGTCAAACCCCCTCATTGCTCATTCTGTGTGCAGCATGCAAGTATAAATGTGCACAATATTGAAAGCCTTTCACTTCATCCTCATTGTCACATCTGTTTTTACTACAATCAGCTATATGCAGGTTTTTTGTTTGATTTTTTTTTTCAATCGGGGGATTATTTTAATAAGAAGTTAGTGCAGGTTTAATTATCAAGCAGATTTTCCTCTAAGATTTTCTGCATTTCAAATCATGCCAAAAACTTTTTTGTTTCTGCATAGTGCAGGCTACACGAGTTCTAAAGACTTTGATTCCTTGACAAGTAGTAGAAGTTGGTATGTACCGGCAGGCAGAGCGAATCCAGTGTAAACGGTACCAAAGCACCCTTCCCCATTTACTCAAAATATCTACAGAGACAGGATGCAAGTCTGTCAGAAACTCATAGAAACAGAGCGTAAAAAAGCTCAGCGGTATGGAAGAGCTGTGTGTGTGTCTGTAGTATGTGACTGTAAACTGTTTTTTATATGTATATGAAAAAGTGGGAAAAAATTCTTATACTCTCCCCTCCAAAAGACTGCGAGTCCCAAAGTGTACCCCCTTTCCCAATAATATGCAGTATGCATTATGTAAATGTATCTGTAGCAATGAACATTCTACTAAGATCTGCTAAAGAGACAGTTCAGGCCACGAGGTGACTGTTATTGAACGCTTTGTGAAAATCAACACCTCAGCACTACGCAGTATAAGAAGAAGATTCTCTGTTAAATGGATGGAACTGCAGATCCACTTGTTACATACTGTAAATGTGAGGTCAGATGGTTTGGTTATGGTTCTGTTAGCGTTGTGTGAACCACAACAAGCAGCCGACCGGGGTTTCAATAGTGAGAAGAGGTCAGTGGCTTATCAAGCATTTGGACAGCCACTATGCATTCGCCTACATTTTAACACACTACTGGAAAAAGGGGAGAGGAGGAGGGAAGGTGGGGAAGTTACAGCTACTTTGCACCAACTGTGGTTCAACAATATCAATAATAACATGTTGAATCACAGTTTGTCTGACAGGACTACTATTCCTTGTTTTTTTTAAACTGTTAACTTAACTTAAAGGCAATCTAGTTGGCCACCTCCAAAATGTATAGTAACTTTACTAATATCCTCAGCTGAACTGTAATATCTTTAGTCATTATAAGCACTTTTACATGCAAGTTTAAAAAGGCGTTGGCGGCCGCTTGCTTTGGTTGCAAGCTAAAGTTACAGAGCGTGAAAACAGTTGGAGCAAGCTGCACAATGTGCGTCGGACGTGGCTCTGTGTGCATATAACCTTCAGTATAGAATAATTAATTAATTAAATAAAACAATAACTATTGAGAGCAGAGAGAAACAGGTTTACACAGACAGCCTTCTCATTGACCCAAGACAAAGTGATAAAACATCAGAGAAACGATCCTACAACAATAAACAAAAACACCTTGGACCAGCGAGCGGCCAGAAACAATCTTCTCAATTGAGTGTTACAGGAAGGCACAAGCTGGAGTCTCCCGCCTTCTGATTAGTTGGTTTGGAGTTGTGAGACAGAGGAAAAGGACCCCTCTAACATCACTGACAGGTTCCTGAGTCTTCATTTAGTATCTGCACTGTTTAGGGGATAAGGTGTGCAAAGGTAGCAGGTTGCAGTTAAGCTGCTACAATTCTTAACTGTTTAAAGGACTATTGCACTACTTCAACAGGCTCCTCTCTTCTGTCAGGACTAGGGAAGACAATTCAAAGATGTCATAGTTTATACTAGAAGGGTTCCTTTTGCACCTGCTCTTAGTCATTTTGTGCACTGCCGTCGACCCTGATTTATCTGGGTAACCTCCAAACTCCGCCCTTAGACTGTCTTAACAGCAGAACTTCTGCACAATGTTAATTTCCATCAACGCCATCAAAAATGGCATTGCTATATATTCCATATATATATACATACATATATATATATATACATATATATATATATATATATATATATATTTATAGCAGTCACTCATTCACGCCAGCCCTCCCAGCACTTTCTTTTTGACTGATGCCTCGGTGCCGATGCTGCCTGTCCTGGACTAACCCGTCTCACCCAGCCCCGGTAATTCATAAAAACTTACGGTGACTTTGATTGATATACAGAAATTGTTGTATTGTATGTATTAAGAACACATTTGTCTTCAAACTGCTTCATTAAAAAGGAGCCTGCCTTCATCACTCACTGAGATCAGACCATTCATCCTAATCTCGTCATTCGGTTGCTGGATTTATCCGGCGCCTACCAACGTGTTGCGCCACATCCACGAGGCACAACCTTCCATAGTAGTCATAAAATATTTGGATCCCTAAACCAAAGAGGTATAAATGATCAGACTTGAATCGATCTTAACACCAAGGACTACGCTGCTGTTATCTTTAATTGCAAAAGGATTGGTGCATCTTATTTGTATATGCTGCATCTTCACTCCTTGACGATGTGTGTTGTCGGCCAGCAAAAATGATTCGATGATAGGGGTCAGATAAACATCTGAGTGCTTTGAAATGGGAGGCGATGAGAGGTAATGTCTTCTGGAGCGTTGAGAGATTCTTGGGTGACCTATGTGTTTTATTTGTGCTGACTAGAGTGAAAACAATCTTGTGACCGCCCTTTTAAAATCCTAAAACCAGTCGAAATGTGTAGTCCACTTCAGAATCCAGTGACTTTGTACAGAGTGAGGAAGCAACGCAGTCTACACAAGTCTGAAAAAAAACAGGAAAAAACTCGAAATTTAGCGCGTATACAGATAACGAAACTATAGCACACTTACTCGTCTCTTCCTGACAATTGCATATTGCACTGCATGTAGAATGATGGCTCATTCGGCGAGTCATTGTAAACTAGCAAACTTGTTGTATTTACAGAATTACCAAACCAAACCGGCTCATGTACAAGAAAGCCTTCTGGGCACTTGCTAAGGTGGAGAAAAGGTAAGGAGCGATGAAATCTGAGGTAGCAAATTCAGTTGTAATGAAATCGATTCAATCACTTTTCCTTCATGTATGTGCTTAGATTTTTTTTAAATGAAAGCAAGTCAACGTCATGTCATCCCTGGTCATAAGTTTGCCGTTTATCTAGCAGGTCATAGCTTATGGTTTAAATAAATCTGAATTTCCTGCTTGTTTGAGTAAAAATAGTTTGCTGTTTTTGGTGCGCTGTCCTCATGGGGGACTCGTAGGTTTGCCAGTTTACCTGTTACACTGCGCTACATGTTCTCAGCAAATCTGGACAAAGTTTGTGTTCGGGCTGATATGTTCACCCAGACAAAATCATGGCTTTTAACAATCCAGTTCCCACCCCTGAGGTGCAAACCAATTACCAGTGTGCTCTTTTGGACATGAGGGGGGGTGGGGGGGGTAGGGGGGTGATAGAACGGGATAATGGGTCCTGTTAGGCCAGCTAACACTACAATTCACGGTTTGCGTTTGAGTTTTACGGAAGCGCCACGGACATACGGGACAGGATAATCAGGACCTCAACAGTTTCAGTGCAAACCTCAATGGCTAATTGTTTTCGGCATTGGTGGTAATTGGACACCGCAGTTAAGGGATCGTCCTACAGGACCTCCGTTTAGGTTATGTGTCATCCCTCAGCAGGTCCACAGAGAGGCAGACTATGTTCATAGAGCAGCAGAGAGCTCCCTTTGTAGTTTTGGTTTAAGGTACCCCACTTTGGAGTTCAGAAAGTTCCAGGGGGGGACTTACTGGAGAGAAAGAAGGACCTCAACCACCCAGAGTGTCCAATCTCGGAAGGTCAGAGGTTAAATATCAGCAGTGACGGTCTAGTGGCTGGGCGCCCTAAAGGGTTCTGGTGGTTGGTGCTGTAGTTGCAGTGGAACAGTGGAAACTCTGTATCCCTCCTTCCATTCACCCCACCACCCCACTTTCCCCTCTTTCTTAGCTCCCCCCTGGGTCAGAGGCGTGTCGCTGTGGTGTCCATGAGTCCAAAGAGGTTTGTGGTTCTTGGAATGACAAACTCCTTTGGGTTGGATCAGGCTCCAACTCCAGCTCGTCCAGTCCAGGGGGGGGCGGCTGGCACTGGTTGGGGCTGATCAGCGAGGTGTCCTGGGGTTGCAGGAGCGTCTTGACGTAGTGTGAATCCAAGATCTGGGAAGGGGGTGGGGGAGGAGGAGATGTGTCGAAGGTGAGTGGGACTGGCTACTGCAACTGAATTCGCTACTCACAAAGGCAAGTTAATCCTTCATGAGGGTTGTTTTGTGCTGTTTTGTGCTGTGGTTTAAAAGATGTATAAGCAAAAATAATGCCACCACAGAATACAGAATACTAAACTCAGCAGCAAGTAGATACGAGCAAGTATAAGTGATGTTACTGGAGTAATTTTATGTGGCCATTTCACACAGAAAGCGGTCGCCCGCCAGGAAGGCTGATTGATGGACTAATCCATCTCCCGGCCCGCCTGCTATGGTGTACTTTTTAGCTAACCCAAAACATCCTCGTTCATGAGCATTACACTAACAACATTTGGTGGGACACTTATAAATTGCGGCAAATCACTCCTGAGCCAGAAAAAAAAGCTGTTTGGGTTTTGATGTCTGTAGTTTCCATTCACTGCGGACCAATGACCTCCACTCAGTTAAAACTTTACTAATACATTTACTTCACCTGCGAGAGGGAGGCCAGGGTGTCTGTGTCCAGAGGTGTCACAGGCTCGATGGGTGTCTCTCGTGGATCTGCTCCCGGGCCGGGACCAGGGGAAGGTGAGACCTGCAGGAGACAATATCTTATTGGTCTGCAGGAAGCGCAGTCCTCTGTCTATTCGCAGTTGGGGTCAGCGTCTAATAATAATAACGGAAAATTCTTCATCAGCGGGTCTCTCCCAGAGACATATCCTCTCCTGACCCCTGTGCCGGCGAGCATCCTACTGTCTTTGGGCTTGCGTCATCACCTCTGGCGGCGATGAGACGGCGCTGTATGCGGGAGGAACCAGGGCCATCTGTCTCTGCAGCAGCTGCATGATGGCTCCGACATCCGTCGACATTCGACTCTCCAGCCTGCACATAGCGTGGGGTAGATAATGCACTGTTAATAGATACACAGAGGCAGCATTTATGTTCTATCAATTTTATTTCATATTTAAAGTGTAGATGTTTTCATTTTATTTTGAAGGGACGTTTTTAATGCCGCGGACCGTCGTTTTTTTTGCCGGCTCGTCCGTCCATGTTTTTAGCAGCGTGTGCCAGGTTGGGTCAAACCATTCTGGCACGGCAGACAAGAATGTAATGGAGAAAACAATCACGACGCATCTGAACAAACTTCTGGAGCGGTTTAATGACTACTTTCCCGAGAAACAGAGGGATGACGACTGGATACGTGACCCATTTGGAATCGACATAGAAAGTGTCACATTGCCAAGCAACGGAGTCAGCTGATGGAGCGGTCATGTGACCGTACGCAGCGGTAAGCCTCTCCCAGTTCTGGTGCAGCAGCGTGATCAGCGAGTATCCTTCCCTTGCCACTCGAGCAGTAAAAGTCCTGCTACCCTTCAGCACTACCTATCTCTGTGAATGTGGCTTCTCAGCTCTGGTTCAGCTGAAGACTAAACACAGGAATAGAATAGAATAGACATTGAGCATGACCTCAGACTGGCCTTGTCAACTTTAACTCCAGACTTTGAGACTCTTGCCAAGAGCAAAAAACATCCCCAGTTCTCACATCAGAAATTCCTCCAGACTCACGTCTGTCAGTTTTCACCTGAGGTTGAAGTGAGTGCTGCTTAATTTTCTGTAAAGCACAATGATTTTCAGGATTTACCTCCTGATGAGGTAATCACAAGAAACGTTCATTTTGTATATCTGAATCCTTTTGAATTGCACTTTTTATTTAATTTATTTTGAATTTGTGCAAAAGCTGCTCCTCAAGACATAGTGTTTGTCATATCTGTTAAAGTTAGGTAATTTGAGTCTTTTTTCGACTTTTTTGTTTGTGCATGAAAGCTGTTGAATTTGTTTAGAAATGGCTGAAGATCCTTAATTGTTACGTATGTTGTAATACCTCGTATCCTTAAGATACACTTTAGAGTTTTTAGCTAATTTAGTGTAAAAGGGAATAGTTCCCTCTCTAGCATCGCTAACAGCTGGCTGTTTTGTTTTTTCATTAAACTTGTTTTTGTGTTCGCATACGTATTCTGTCTCCATACTATCTCGATGTTCCTCGATTTGGGTCGCGGCTTGTCATTCAGGGGTGATTGTGGGTCCCGGAGCCAGACCAGTTGAGAACCACTGGTCTAAACCACTATTCCCTGGATCTCAGAGGTGAAGTTAGCAAGTACGTATCATTCACAGTTAACATGGTAAATGGTAAATGGACTGTACTTGTATAGCGCTTTTCTAGTCTTCTGACCACTCAAAGCGCTTTAACACTACATGACATCATTCACCCATTCACACCCATTCATACACTGATGACAGGAGAACCATACACAGTGACACCTGCACATCAGTAACTAACAATCACACACTGTAGTCGCAGCTACAGGAGCAATGTTGGGTTAAGTGTCTTGCCCAAGGACACATCGACATGCGGGTTAGCAGAGCCTGGGATCGAACCGACAACCCTCTGATTGGAGGACGACCGTGCTCCCCACTCACCCACAGTTGCACATCTGTATAGACATTATTTTGCCTACACACCACTTCTTGTATAAACAACTCCACTTAATTATTAAACTTTTCTGAACTCTCTTCTTCTCATCCCGCTTTTACTTCTGGAGGCAGAACAAATACCCTTCTCACAGAGTTTCCAGTTTTATTGCATCTCATCAAAGTGGGCTTTACGCGTACAGGAGAGGTGGACGTAGGCTCCTCTGCAGCAAATAAGGACTCATCCTGCCTCACTTTGTTACACTTGTTCTCAAGTTGCTTTGAAGTGCAGCTATTTTGAAGGGGAGGCTTGAGATGCAGCCCGCTTCCTAGCTGTAGGCTTTAAGACCCCCCTCCCACCACCACCCAACTCCCCTTCCCTGACGCCGTACCTGTTGAGCTGTTTCTGCAGCAGGTCCAGGCGTGAGTCCAGCTGGCTGCGCTGCCGGCGGCTTAAGCTGTGCAGCGGCTTGCTGAGAGTCGGGGGGGAGGTCAGGCTGCAGCTTGGAACCTCCTGGTACTGACCGCCCCCCCGACTCTCCCCCCAGAAACTGAAGATGTGGGATACGCCCGAGAATGCACCTGCAGAGAGCAGGGAGGGTGAGCTTGCGCTCAACGACGGATACCGTGAGATTCACAGATTGAGCTTTACCTGACAGAGCGTTGCAGGTGTTCCCGTTCTGGGGGTCTCGGTCGGTCTCTGTGTTCTCGCTGAAGCTTCTGAACGTGGCCTGAGCATGCTGACTCTCCAGTACTGCCGGCGGAGGAGCGAGTCTGGTCCCGGTTGACTCTGCCCCCTGTTAAAATGTGTAGATCAGGGTATCAACATCATGTTTTATTGCACAAAGGCCACCAGGGTACAATAAATACTTTAGAAGTAGAGTAGATGAGCCTCTACCTCGTCGATGCTGGAGTGAGAAGACAGCGAGCTTCGATGTGCCTGCCACTGCCGCTTGGGAGCCCCATCCCGGCTTTGGTTGCCCAGGGCCTCCCTCTGTCTCCTCCTGACGGACTTATGGGACTTTTTGATTTCTCCGGCGTCTGCCTCATCTGGACACAAGTGTGTGAGGACAGATTTAAAATACCGTAAATTCCGGACTATAAGCCACTACTTTTTTCCCCACACTTTGAAGCCTGCGGCTAATGTATCATTTTTTACGGGCAACCAATCTGGCTGTCGGAGAAGGACACAGAGCGGCTGCACGTAAACTTGCCATTAATGAATCGATGGTGAGACGTTGGAGACGGCAATGTGAAGAACTCCAGCACAGACGACTCTGCGTGAAGAGTGGTTTTTCTGTCGCGTGGACACTTGCGGCTTATAGACCGGTGCGGCTTATATATGTACACATCTTTTTTTTGTTCAAAATTTATGTGGTGCGGCTCTATAGTCCGGAATTTACGGTGAGGTGTGACTACTCACCTTCCAAAGAGGATTGCCATATAAACCATTACTTTTGAATGTGACACTGATAGATGAGCACCCTAGCAATCTTCACCTTTCTCTGTACGTCTTCGGAACGATAACTTGCGTCTGCGTAACTTATTGAACCCCCCACAGTTGGAGTCATCGCTGCTCGGGGAGCCAGGGATCATGTTGGTCTGCAAACAAGCATTAAATGGACTACATTAAAAGTAAAAATGTTTTCTTTCCAAAAGTTAAGGTAAATTCTTTACTTGGATACAGCAGCAAAGATAACGTGCTACTAGATCTGTGCATCTTTGAAGAGGCTGAGAACTTACATCTCGGAGGTTGAAGGTTATTTCCAGATTGTTCCAGAAGTGGTCCGCAAACTCTGGATACATGTCCAGCACCTCCAAAACGTCCTCTCTGAAGATCTTGTGCAGATCGCAGTAAGTCAGTGCCCTCACATCAGCGTTGGATTTACCCGGGCGGGTGTACAGGTTGATGGGCTCGCCAAAGATGTCATTCTTACCTGGGAGAGGTGGAGAAAAAGAGAACTCCTTATCTTCAGTCATTACCTCGTCCCTCACCAGCAGCCAATTATACCGGTTAGAAATATTTTTTAATGACCCAGATATATGACAGTTGCATATAAGGAGAGAGTTAATGAAATGTAAGCCTGATTCAAATTACTTTCTCTCCTGTGTTTTTTCACTTGAGAACAAGTGAAAAATGGATTTGTCAGAAGTTCCATATTTTACATTTCATCTTTGGAAAAAGTTGCATAACTTTGTAACACACAATATATATATTGCTTCTGCTTAAATCAATGGTAAAACTGAAAGTCATTTATAAGAAAAAGTATTCTTTTAGTCCTTTATATAACATGGAGTAGTGATAAATGGCAGCTTCTTGAGGCTAAGTGGAGTATATATATATACAGATATAAATACTTCAGTGCCATCTCTTTTCTTTTGACTGTTTCAACAGATTAGAAAAAATATTTAGGACAATAGGCCAGCCTGTTTCAAAGATAACAGGTTTAGGTAAACCCGTTTTCACATGTTCCACTGTCAGTTAGGGGAGAAAACCTAATAACCTAACCTAATAAAAAATGGATAACCAGAATAAGTTCTTTCTCGCTTGCCTCTCAGGGATTTCAAAGGGTTCAATGATGTGGTAACATCTGCATTGATTTTATTTAATTTTGAACTACTGTCACAGTATCATATAGTATCTGTAAATGTATGTCCAATGGATTCTATGGTAAAATAAAAGAAAGTGTTAAAGATACTTTCTAGTATCACAGCCTGCTGTGTCGAGATCAGTAACACGTTATGCTCTCCAGCTGGTGGCACTACCGGCAAGAACATATTTTTGAGAGGCCTGCATGGAGTCAACACCCAGGAAGAGACATGCAAGCATGACCTAAAGAAAATGTGTGAGAAGCGGTTCTGCTGCACACCGAACTCCCTGAAAGACACAGGAAGCTTTGGACCAGTGGAGGACTTTCATTACTGTCCTGCTGAGAAGTCCACTGGGAGCTATTCTCACTATTCTCAGGGAAGCAGCCATGAGGTCACCTCCTCTGAGAGGAATTATTTCCATATGTTGATACGATCTTGCTTCAGAGTTTGTTCCTAATACCCAAAGAAATTAACAGGGGAACATGTACTTTCGCAGCTGGGAAGTGTAATCAGACAATCAAACATTGACAGATTGACACTAGACGTTTATTTATTCATTTTTTACCCAAGATGGCTACCACCACATCTCCTCTCAGTATCTCTATGGACCCCCTGGATATGAAGTAGAGGGCCGTGAGGACGTCCCCAGCGTGGACCAGCGTGTCCCCTGGCGGTGCGTGGGTGGTCTTAAACTTCATGGCCAGCGCCCTGAGGCAGCCCTTGGTAGAGCCTTTGAAGGCCTTACAGTTCTGCAGCAATGTCCGGTTAAGGTGGAGGCAGATATCTGCCTGCAGACACTCGGGGAAACCTTTCAGCACCTGGGGGAGCGGGCACATTGAGGAGGGAGGGAGGGAGGGGAGGAGCGTGATAAGGAAGGAGAGTAAGAGAAGACAATGAGGGAGCGGAGGAGGTGGGAAAAAAGAAAGTGATGAATTGAAGAGATATAGGTGACAGTAGCGAGTGACTGTGCTATGGATCCAGACCATCCAACTAATGTCACACAAAAGTCCTCTCTAAAAGGAGTAATAAAAAAACATTCTCACAGTTGATACTCTTGTCATCCCGGCTTGTGAACATTAGCGGGACATCGTACCTTGATCACACCACGATACGGGTTCAGAGAACTCCCGGTTCCAATCAAAATCTTTTACGAGTTTAACCCTGAAGTGGAGGAACAGCGTCAGTAGTGTATGCTCAAATAATTTGAAGCAACCCTCTCTCTAATGTCCAGCAGGCGATCGACTAACTATAGGTCTTGACTAAAATGACATGAAATTTGATGTTCATTTAGGTTGTTTTTTTTCGGTCAATTTGATAAAGAACAGTGCACATTACCATTGTTGGTAAATGTGCCAGAGTTAGCCAAAAAGCTAGTTTTCATGTGTAGTCCCAAGTTGCACACAAAATCAACCTATCAACCAACAGAAGATGGGATTAAATTTAAAATGTTAATCAATATTGACGCTTAAAAAAAATGAGTGAGATAAAAGGACATGTGTGCAGGTAGATGTGGCAAAGACATACAGACAGGTGAAAACAGACAGATCAAGGGAAGTTCAACACAGACAGAGAGGTGCATGCTCTAATGTAACCTATCTAGAAAGGTTACATGCTAGTGATGACAGAGTTGGGCACCAACTAACCATTTTTTAAAATGAGTTTTAAATGAACTATATGTTTGTATTTCTCGAATGGTTACAAGGATGGAATTTGATTGTAGTGCACCTTGTACTGAAAAAGGCAGACTGACTGAAAAAGTGGGGTAATTCAATCCCCTCTTGCTGAACCTTTTAGGAGCCAATATCGAGTTCGGTCTTGGGATTACAATACATTACATGTCATTTAGCTGACGCTTTTATCCAAAGCGACTTACAATAAGTGCATTTCTAAGCAAGCTTAGTATAGCAGCGCTTTAAGTGGTTCGTTTGTCACTCACCTCCCTTCTGTTTGACACATGGAGTAATTCCTCTCCTCTGCACAGTTCTCTGCTGTATGTCGCACCACTGTTTGTTTTACTTCCAATCAAAAAGCTCTCTCCATCTTGATGTAACTGACTGCAACTAGCGGCTGTTTCGTTTCCGCAGTCAACTTCCTGTTTACTTCCGGGCCCGGTAAGTAAACAAACGAACATTAAATTATTAAAATATTAAATTGCATTAATAAAGGCCACATTAATTGCACAGATTAATGCATTAATGTTGACAGCCCTAGTGCATATTATTGATGAACCCTCTTTTCTGTTTTTCTCAGATGGTGTTGCACCATGCATGCTGAGACAAACTCTTGCATCGTCTTATTAACGTATAATGCAGGCTCAAAATACTGCTCCAGCCACTTTCTGTGTTTTGGTGTTCATGTTATATGCTATACTCACTGGGCCACAACACACCTGACGAGGTGCGAACATACGGGATGCTGTTTGAGTGCAGGATAGGGTACTCACAGCGTTCATGTCGATGCCGTTGGTGTAGGACCAGGCGTGCTGGAAGTACTCCTCCAGCCTCTGCCTGAGCGGGTTGGGGATCTGGTGAAAGCGGATGAACTCCCGCACCCTCAGCATCTGGGTGTGATAACGGGCCGTGCCCGAGTACAGCCGCTGGATGATAGCTGACACATTTCCAAAGATGCTGGCGTACATCAGGGCTGTGGGTAGGAAATGGGGATAGAAGGATGAGACGTGGGGGAGGATTTAGGAAATGTGAGGATGGAGGAAGCAAGGGATGGAGGGCAGGAGGGGAGAGATCCGCATTTAAATTTAGAGAGTGTCTAGCGCTGGATGGGTACTGGATACACTGATGTGACTTGACATATCTGCAAATAAATATCTTGTCTGACACCCTTGGGTGATACAATATACTGTAAGTGGAGAAGGAGCAGCCCTCCTGATTGGTCAGTGTCCACTGTATGGTCGCCTTCTTTTCAGCGTTACTGCAGTTAGGCCTAACTGTCTTTGTGAAGTACACTGTATTGTTTCGACAACACTGCCTGACAGTCCTGATGGATCATTTAAAGGCACATTTTTTTAATACTGCCTGTGTGCATTGCTTAGTGGATGGAATGTTTTGGAACTGTTTTTATAACAGCCAGGAAAAAAGATAATTTCCTGCATTTTTAAAGCTTGTTGTAAATCAATACTTTCTGTTACTATCTATCTATTCTACTAAAGCGTAAAATAATTTCCCACAAAAAATATTTCAACAACTACAACAACAGCCCTATCTGCCTCCGCTAAACTTCAGAAAGCAATTTAGTTCTCAAAGGGAGTATTTTTAAGTGGGGTTGAAGAGATAGTCCATAACCAGAATATCAATATCAAGATCAAATTTATTGTCAATGTCCAGCAGGGACACACATTTAGCCTTTTATCACCACAATGTGACGATGTGACTGGCTTAATTTTGTAAGTAAAGGAAGTGTGTTTTTGTGACATGACATGAACTGATTCTGGGGCGTCATTCATACAGAGTCTCAGCCTAGTCGGCAACCGGAACGAGCCGGCCACCAGTCCTATAAGCCTATAAGGAGATGCCAGTCTAAAACCACGTCGAAGTGATAGCCTAGTGTTTGGACACTAATCTTGGAAGGTTTTACGTTGGTAGAGTGAAGATTACTACTCTAGGACAGGCTTTTGTGAAGGCCTCACAGCGGAGAAACGGGAGGACTCAAAATCATGAGTTTTGTTGAATGGCCGATTTCCACGTTCAACCCCTCTTTTGAATTGTCTGATCCTATTGGATCCGACTAGAATGAGCAGGTATGGATCGACAGCTCCATTAGCTACTCAGAAGCAGAAACGGGCAGAGGGTAAATGACGCTCGAGACGTCTGGCTTTGAAATTCAACCCCCAAACTCCCCTAACGTCATTTAAAAGACACAAGAAGCCAGGTGAGTCAACTCTTTAATATGTATGTAAATTTTTGGAGCTTTTTCAAACAGATTATTAGGGATTGTAGCCAAGACTCTTAACGCTTTGAAGGGGGTGAAGCATTTATATATTTGTGCACAATATTTCTGTTAGAAGTTGCATTTTGCTCCAGTTTGGACGGCTATTGGGCTTGGGAAAAAACAGCTGTTTATATTTAGCTACTTTACGGTAGTCACAACCTGGCACAGACATCTTGGAAGTATGGTGGGGACAAAGAATCACACGATCTGTCTCATAGCCCACTGTAGTGCTCAGTAGGTGTCAACTGGGGTCGTCGTGGCGCAGGGGTTAGAGAAGGTGTGCTGGGAAGCACCAGGTTGTAGGTTCAATTCCAGGCTGCCCCCATGTTCCATGTCGAAGTGTCCCTGAGCAAGACACCTAACCCCTAATTGCTCCCCAGGCGAAAATGTGAAAAAGCCATGGGTTTAAAGTGTAATGTAAGTCGCTTTGGATAAAAGCGTCTGCTAAATGACCTGTAATGTAATGTAGCAAAGAACTTATGAGAACACTCTGTAGCATTGACTCCTCCTTACTCACGCTACACCTCCCCTATACGACCATCACACTCGTATTAGAAGCTGTTTTACGTGACTGAATCTGGCTTCAAATTCAATCTTGACTTTGTAAACTATGTCCTGTTCTTGTGAATCAAGAACGTCTCTTTCATGACGCGCTGCCTCTGAAGCCAGATGTGAAACTCCAGAGTCTTCTTGTCCGCTTTGAACAGTGACCACCCTGCGTCCCACCCAAGAATTCAGTGCTATATTATTCTCAAATTGTGGATCCCAAACTATTCAGCTCCAGTTTCTCCCCTTTATCG